ACGATGTTCGGCCCGACATATCATCTGCCCGAACATCGTTGGGTCGTTGAATCGAGTCGAACTTTACTTTAGAGATCTGTGATCATCTATTATGGCATCGCTGGTGTAGACCAGTTATCGTCAAACGCAAGCTCTTATACAAGTTTAACCAGAAAAATCTTAATTCTGGTATAAACAAATGTGGAAAAAGAAACAAGTGTGTCTGCTTTAAACGTCGCATTAGCCGATGTTACCTTTCTCCAGAATTGTCTCTGAGGTTTGTGCATAATACGGTTATAGTGCGTCATTTTGGGTTTTCAGATGTTCATCGATTTGTTTGATGTTGTGATGTAAATCCTATCACTACTGGTAGCTGGACGTATCTAAGGAAAGTTTCTTGATAATATCATTAGACTACTTATTTGTTAGTTTGGTATTCAATTTATAAGTATTATTTTTTCTTTCCTCTTAAGTGATAATTTTACGGTGGCGGATCCAGCAAAATGTATTGGGGGGGGGGTCCAAGCTACGCTTAAGATATACGGACCGTAAATCGCAGAGAAGCTATGCGTAATCCAGATGATACGAATCGTCATGCGTTTGGGGAGAGGGACATGGTCCCCCCTGCCCCCCCTCTGGATCCGCCACTGTAATTTTATGAATGTTTGACAAACTATTCATTCAAGCCGTGGCTGGTTGGGAGGGGGGGGGGCAAATTTCATGGTTATTACTCTTGCTAAAGCGTGACAAGTCTTCATATTGCCAGTATAAATCGTATTATGTGGTTAATTAAAATATGACGAAATATTTCTTGTAATCTTTCAACTTACTGTACATACTATCGGGTCACTAACCAAATGTCTCAGTTATCATTTCAGTATCTATGATGGCTGAGTATATAAATATTATTTCCATGAATATTAGAGGTTTTGGAGATGGAAAGAAGAAGAGAAAAGTTCCTCGGTAACTAAAGAAAGGTCATTATAACATCGCTATGCTCTAAGAAACACATTCTGTACCACGAGTGGAGTTGGAGTGGCAGGATTTAACACCTGGTCACTGCATCTTCTCATATGGTACCTCATCCAGTAGAGGCGTATGTGTTATTATTAATATTCCGGATTATGTTATTCACAAAGTGAGAACTGATACTGAAGGCAGGATTATTATTATTATATCAATTGATATCTCTAATAAACCTTTTTTACTTATCAACAGTTTTGCCCTAAATTTGGAAGCCGCCCACTGTACCTTATTAAAACAAGTTTCAGTAATGCTATATGAATTTAAGGCGGAGCTAGATAGAGAAAATGTATGGGGTGGAGATCACAATTATACTTTAAACCCTTTATTAGACAGATCCGGAGGAAACCCTTCAACATGGACAAATTGGAAACAATTATTTGAAAATTTAATTTGCAATTTTGAACTGATAGATGTTTAGAGAATTAGAAATCCAGAAATGAAACGCTTTACATGGCGAAGGCTGCATCCAGTGCTTATTCAAAGTCGTCTTGACTATTTCTTAGTAAGCGACTCCCTTCAGATATCAGTGGATACTTGTGATATAATTCCAAATATTTTATATGACCATCCATCTATTCCCATCACTATTGGGGATAAAAGGGGCAATTTAGGTAATTCATAATGGAAATTCAACAATAGTCTTCTCCTGATTCCAGAGTATATGCAGCTTATCAAGGATAATTTAGAAAAAATGGGAATCAGAATATAACACATTAGTAATCAACCAAGCATCACCTGTAATGCCTATTGGTGAACGTCGCTAACTCTTTTGGAACATTTTCTGACATGTATTTTCTATACACGTAAGCATTGACTATCAATCATGGCGACAAATGCTAATGGTGATGACGTCAAGCCGATCTTCATGATTTTGAATGAAATCCATGACGGTAGGAAGGACGATTATATAACACAAGAAGAAGTGTACCTAGCCGCAACCGAAATAGTACCTGCTACGAACCTACGATGCATCCAATTTGCAAGAGGTATTTGTAGAATATACTTGAAAAGTTTAGCAGAAAGAGTAAAACTTGTAAGTAGTGGCTTTACAATCAGAGGTCAGCATGTTCAATTAAGAGAAAACAATCACTTTGTTAAGCGTTACAATGGCATCCGACTTACTGTGAAAGTATTACCATTCTCAGCTGACAATTCACTAATTGCGAGTGGTCTTTTAAAATACGGGTGTGAAATAGTCGGCATAGACAACGAGCTTCTACGTGTCAATGGTAAACTGACGGATTGCATGACAGGCAATCGCTTTGTATTTGTCAAGCCGGTAGGGAGACCCATTCCAAGATATGGTGTACGTATGGGAAAATTTACTACCAGTACATTTTATCGTGGTCAGAAGGAGGACTTAAATTTATTTAATCGAGCAACAAATCAAGCGATGCAGATGCTAGCAATAACGTAGACATCTCACCAACCAGCCCAAACCTACTACAGGATGACGGTAAAAACAAGTGCGATACCGAGTGCCAGTCAAATAATATGCAAGTTGAGATCGCCCGATTAGAAACTTTTATTGATGAAAAATACAAAGAATCCCAAACACCGTTGAAAGAAAACTTCAACTCGCAACAAAATGCCGGTGATATTGAAGACTCCAATAAAGAAAGCGATTCTACCCAAATCGATGGTGCTTCTCAAAAAAAAAAAAAGAAAGAAAAGGAAAACGCAACAAAGTAGCCGCGGAAGACAACGTGGAACATAACTCACAATCAGCAGAGCATAGTGAAATGCGTAGGTCTCGCTCCCTAGAGGACATTGCCCTACTACAGGTTGTTAGACAACAAACTCCAGTCGACACGACAAAGAAGAGAATGGTAACTCCACCAAGTCAAACGGACAGTAAGCGTTGGGATACTTGGGATGAACAGATAAGTGATACAGGCAGCTAGTTTTTCTTTTTATCTTTAAGAATATACTTTCTGCGTTAATTTCTCAGATTACTAATTAAATGAACGACAATTTAAAGATTATAACTCTTAATGTCAATGGACTTAGAGTTATTAACAAAATGCATGTTATCTTTAATTGGTTGGAAAAACAAAAAGCTGACGTCGTCCTGTTACAGGAAACGCATGCTAACAAAGCAATTGAATTGAAATATAAGGATTTATGGGGTGGATAGGCTTTTCATGCTTTTGGCACGACCCACAGCTGTGGGGTTGCTATTTTGCTTTCCACCAAGATAGATGTTAATGTAATTAAATGTAGAGCTGACTCAGTTGGCAGACGTTTACTGTTAAATTGTGAAATAAGTAAAAAAAATATACCTTTGTATCTGTATATGCCCCCAAATGTATGTAAGGATAGGAATTCTTTCTTCGCAAATTTGACTGACTGGTTACGCCAGGAGGATATTTATGAGTTAGTTATAGGGGGCGATTTCAACTGTATAATGAATATTGATCTTGACAAAAGGGGAGGGCGTACTACTGGTGTATTGAATTCCAAAGCGGCAATAAGATCAATGTGTAGTTCCCTCAAGATTATAGATATATGGAGGAAAATTAACCCACTCGCAACAGAATTTACCTATCGACGAACAAATCCCCTAATTCTGACACGTCTAGATTGCTTCTTTACTCTAAAAGATACGTGTGATATAGTCCAACACTGTGTGATCAAACCTGCCATAATGACAGACCATAGAGCAGTTATTCTTACAATTCAGCAGCACCATGAGAAAAGGGGACCTTGAGTCTGGAGATTTAATATTAGTTTATTGAGCGATAATGATTATAAGGAAAAGGCTCGCAATGTCTTACAAAACTGTATAGCAAAATGCAGTAATGCCAATCTGCAAAGTCAGCTAACACTTGAATATTGCAAAATACAAATTCGTGAATTTACAGTGGGATATTCTAAAGAAAAATCAGCTAAATTAAAAGCTAAATTATCAAGTTTCGAAAAACAATTAAAATCACTAGAAAAGAAAATTAATAACACTATCGATACTGATATAATGAATGAGTATGAGAAAGTTAAGAATGACATTGAAATAATTTATCAGCACATAGCAGATGGTGCCAGAATTCGCTCGCGCGTAGATTCCTATGTCAAAGGTGAGAGGTCAATTCGTTATTTCCTCAACTTTGAACGACGTAATGGCGCTAAACACACAATTCTTAAATTAAAGTCAGGGAATTCTGAAGTTACTAAACAAAAAGAAATCTTGCACGAGATCCATCGGTATTATTCTGTGTTGTTCCCAACAACCAATATAAGTGATGACAAGATTGATTCTTATTTGACAGAAGTTAAACTAGAGTCTGCACTAACTGATGATGACAGAATCATATTGGATAAACCAATTTCCCTAGAGGAATGTAAAATGGCCGTACTTGCTATGGGGAAGGATAAAACTCCAGGCTGTGACGGGTTACCAGCCGAATTTTATTCGGAATTCTGGGATGTTATTGGGCAAACTGTATTTAACTCAATTAATGAAGGTCTAAAAACTGGAAAATTATCTGAATCACAAAACAGTGCAATTTTAAAGCTGTTGTATAAAAAGGGTGAGCACAGTAGTCTAGATAATTGGCGTCCAATTAGTTTGCTAAATACAGACTATAAGATACTTGCATCTGTCTAGACGTTTACAGCCTATTCTCGGACGTATCAATAATACAGATCAAACGGCATATATTAAAAATGGATTTATTGGCGAAAATGTCAGATTAATATACGATATAATTGCTTATACTGATATGAAAAACATTCCCGGGTCAATTTAATTTCTAGACTTTTGCAAAGCGTTCGATTCTGTGGAATGGAATTTTTTATTGAAAGTTATGCGTAAATTTGATTTTGGTAATAAATTTATTTCTTGTGTTAAAACAATTTATTCTGATTGTAAAGCATATATTATCAATAAAGGTTGGTTGTCAGCCAAACTACACCTAACACGTGGTATCAGACAATGCTGCCCTCTATCGGCCTTGTTATTTTTACTTGTTGTGGAAATTCTTGCTTGCAAAATTAGAGCGTCAACGGCGCTTTCGGGAATCACCTACAACTTGAAACTTTATTTAATAGGGAAATCCGCATTTGCCAAGTTGCAGATGATACAACACTTTTTGTTGCAAATGAAGACTCTATTACTAAGGCCATTGACATTGTAGTTAATTTTAGCAATGTTGCGGGTCCTAAACTAAATAATAGAAAAAGAGAAGGTCTCTGGGTCGGAAAGTGGAAAAAACGTCGGAAAAAAATTGGCAATATTAGTTGGCCGATTGAACCAATTAAATCGTTAGGTGTGTATTTTAGCACAAGTAAATCGGATACAACCAAACTTAATTTAGAAGGAAAATTAAAATCAATTGAAAACGTCCTTAATCTTTGGAATACTAGAAATTTAACTATCTATGGGAAGGTGGTGATTATTAAAACCATG